AGACGGTGAGTTCTAGTCCTGCCTTAGGCATGAAACCAAGCTGGGTGACTCTAGGCCAATCACCAGGAGACGGTGAGTTCTAGTCCTGCCTTAGGCATGAAACCAAGCTGGGTGACTCTAGGCCAATCACCAGAAGACGGTGAGTTTTAGTCCTGCCTTAGGCATGAAACCAAGCTGGGTGACTCTAGGCCAATCACCAGGAGACGGGGAGTTCTAGTCCCGCCTCAGACATGAAAGCAAGCTGGGTGACTCTGAGCCAATCACCAGGAGATGGGGAGTTCTAGTCCCGCCTTAGGCATGAAACCAAGCTGGGTGACTCTAGGCCAATCACCATGAGACGTTGAGTTCTAGTCCCGCCTTAGGCATGAAACCAAGCTGGGTGACTTTGGGTCAATCACCAGGAGACGGTGAGTTCTAGTCCCACCTTAGGCATGAAAGCCAGTTGGGTGATTTTAGGCCAATCACACTCTCCCAGCCCAAACCACTTCACAGGTTTTTTTGTGGGAAAATAGGGAGGAAGCAGATGTGTTAGATATGTTAGACGCCTTGAGTTCTTTGTAAAAATAACCAAGGTGGGATACAAACAAATGGCCATTTCTCTTTTGTGAAAACAAGCATATGAGAAATAACCCCAAACCGGGGTCTACCTGAAGGAGACGTTCTTGATCCTGCTGCCACCGTTCCTGGCGCCTACGTTCTTCTTCCGGATCCCAAGCCCAGCAAGGCGAGCGCTTCAAAAAATGGATCAAATAGACAATTAAAAGCAAATTAATACAGGTCCATTGCATTTTATTTTTAACCCAAAGCCATTCCAAGTTATCTACAGGTAGGTTTGCAAGTGCCTCTTTGGCTGACCCTTATTCCTGGACAATCGTATCGTGTAGATTTTCGATAAGGAGAATGCCAACATTTATCCCGTTTCTGCTAAATGGCTTGAATGTAGGCCATGATGCTACACGCTGTGGCATCTAGCTAGAATGAGATCAGGATCTCAACATTAGCTTACAAAGGTGGCTTTAAAAAAGACATTACAGGTAATCCTCGACTTACAAACCAGTCACTAACTTGGATTGCAAAGGAGAGGGAAACCAGATGGTACATGTGGATGGAGAAGATAAGTCCCGTCCTAAGCATGAAAGCCAGCTGGGTGACTCTGGACCAATCACCAGGAGACGGTGAGTTCTAGTCCCGCCTCAGACATGAAAGCCAGCTGAGTGACTTTGGGCCAATCACCAGGAGACGGTGAGTTCTAGTCCCGCCTTAGGCATGAAAGCCAACTGAGTGACTTTGGGCCAATCACCAGGAGATGGTGAGTTCTAATCCCGTCTTAGACATGAAAGCAAATTCAAGATTTCAAATCAGATCAACTTACATTTGGTATGTCCCTGTTCTCAGTGGCGGCTGCAGAAAAAGAGAAAAAAACGGCTAACATTAAATTTTCAAAATTGGTTAAGTTCAACAGGTGTGTCGATTTTTCTTATTTATTTATTTTTTTTACAGTTTTGCACCTCCCTCTGAAATCCTCAAAGGATTTCCAAAACAACAAACCATTTGAAACGACAAAGCCGATAATATTCATGGTTAAAAAGGAACCTTGTCTGAAACTCCGGTGAAGCCTTGTTTGCTCTGATTGTTTAGATAACTGTCTCAACATCCAGCTTCGAGAATCCAAATAAAACTCCAGGTTCATTCCGTTTCTGAAAAATCTTACTGTTTATTGAATACACTGTGTGGTTTTATTGGAAGCAAAACTAACTCTGAGGTTCCAATACCGATTCATAGACTTAAACAATAAATTTCCCAGCCAAATCCTCAACGTCTTACGTAATTCATATTAACAAGTTCACTTTGATATGGGAACCGTCTGCTTCAAATCCACACCTGTTCTGGTGTCCTTGACAAGGCTTCAGGCTCTCACGGTCTTCAGCTAATCGAAGAGGTTTCGTTTCTCCATTTAACCCTCTTGAAAGTAACATCTCTCTCCCCACCCCCTTAATCTAAAGGCAAAAGGAATGTAGCTGCCAAAGTTTCATCCTTGACAACAACAGCCCCAGAAACTGGTGGCGTTTGGGCTTCAAACAGATGCCACTAATGGATGGTGGACCTGGCAAACATGACATCATTTATGTTTTTTTGGGGGGACTGGTTTTGAGGAAAGAAACCAAAACTGGCAGATTTGTTTATTCCTAGCTAGGAAATCTACCTTTTTGATCTTGTAGGGGAACGTCTTTCAAAACCCCTTGGCTTGTCTCAGGGAGTTTCTTCAGAAGAGACAAAAGTAGGTGTTCACCTTGTTTCGGAACCTCCAAAGTTTCTGTCTGGACCTGGAACGATTTGTAAAGAACATCATCAGCACATCATCAAAGTAGTACAACTATCAGCCCTTTTGAGATTGTTCAGACCAGGAAACTGTAAAGCAGAACTATGTTTCATTGAGATAGGCTGCAATGG